GACTTTCAAATGAGGAAGCCTCCAAACATTGCCAGCCAGCTGGTGTAAGGAGGGCATCATTACGGTATTAAGGGCAGTCTTGGGTGGAAACCCATAAAACCCCACAGGATCCCACCCGCAGGGCACAAGATCATTCACTCAAAGTCACCCTTCCCACCCGGCTCTGGTGTCGTCCATTCACGCACTCACTCGGTCCTTTATTCACTGAGCCCCTGGGATGTTCCAGGCCCTTTATGATGTCATACTCCTTAATATGAACAATTCTGCGAGGCAGGCGTCATTAACCCCTCTTTACAGATGAGGAAACTGAGGCTCAGAGAAGCAAACACAAAAACAAAAAAACACCTCCCTGAGCGGACACAGCTAGGTGAGCCCTGGTCCAGACGTTTCCTCCACGGTCCGGTCACGCCAAGCACCCCTAACCCCAGTCACTCTAGAGCACGTCACCTGCTGTTTTGTACAACACGTACTACCACTATCTGAGATCTTCTTCTTTCTTTTTTCTTTATTGTTTTCTCTTTTTTCCATGAGAATATATGATCATTTTTTGGTCTAATGATCACCGATTTCCAGCCCCTGAGCCCCCAGCAGGGGGCTGTGCAGTGAATGAATGACTGTGTGAATGAATGAAATAGGAAGCCAGGTCTCCAAAGCCCACAATTCCAGGACTCAGTGACAGACGCCCCTGTCCCCAGGGCGTGCTTCCACCGAGCCCTGAACTCCTTCCTTTGCTGGCAGCTTCTCAGGAAGCCTTCCTGGGGCCCTGGGCTGCCCCGGTCACAGCGACAGGCAGGCACACCTGGAAGGCGAGCTCCCTCGATGCGGAGGCTGCGGCCAGGCAGCTGGGGGGCGAGCCACACCCTGCCGAGCTCTGCCCTGCCACGCGGCTGCCTCTGCCAGGGGCCTGCGGTGACCTAGATCACACTGGCGACTTTTAAAGCCCAGCTGGACTCTAGAAGGAGAGCTCGCCCAGATCTTGCCCTTGAGGTCTCTCTCTGGTCACTGTGCCCACCGCCTCCCCAGGCCTCAGTGGAAACCTCCCCTCCCTGCCTCTCCCTGCCCCCAGAGGGTCTGGTTCAGAGCCTGCCCGCAGTTCCTGGAAGCCAGCAGAGAGAGGCGGAGGCATTTGTACTGACTCCGTAAAGGCTGGGGCTACCACTGGGAACACCCCCAGAGAGAGCAGCCAGCAGCGCGGTGGCCGTTAGCAGGGTCTGGCTCGCTCCCTGAGCTCTCCCCGGGAACCTCTCTCCTTGGTTTCCTGTCTGCTGCCCACAACAGATGCTCTCCCGGCCCCTCAGACTCTCCAAATAGAATGAAGAGACACGAAGTCCAAGTCCTCCTCCTGCCTAAGGACCAGTGTCCAGGCCTGCAGCCCAGGTCATCACTGACAACAATCTCAGCCTTCATGCTAACAACCCCACCCCGTGCCCACAGCGGCTGCCTTCACCCCCAGCCCCTCCTGGGGCGTCTCTCCAGGACAACTGTAACTTTGTGCCCCGCGACAACTGCAGCGTCCACTCGTGCTGTGCACAGGGCCGCTGGGAGAGGCTTACTGAGCAGGACAACTGCCACACCGCATGCTCACCGCCTGCCCCTGACTTTGTCCTTCCATATCCCCAGGGCAGAGCCCAGGGCCTGGCACATGGTAGGTGCTCTGAAGACATGTCTGCTGAGTGACTCTTGCAGAAAGGGCCCTGGCGAGAGTGAAGAGAGGGTTTGACCGCAGTCCTGGTACTGCCCAGCTGTGTGACCACAGGCAAGTCCCTGTCCCTCTCTGAGCTGCAATCTCTCATCTATATAATGGAAAGCAGAGTTTGCAAACTCCGGCTTCAGAGGCCTCATCTAGGTTGTGGGTATGTTGTTTATGATTCATTCAGTGTTTCATATTTTATTTTAAAATTAGTTCCCAGGATTTGAAAACTAGATTTCCATAAAACTTAAAGTTTTCAGCTGTAATTAGATGAGAAGACCTGGCTGGCTACACTGGACCCTTCGTCCCACAGACAATTGGCGGCCTGGGCAGCAGCTGCCCCTTTAACTGGGGCATACGTTGCCATCTGGGCACAGTTCCACTTCCCCTCACTCCCCAGACCCTTACCAGCTTGCACCGCTCACGTAGGTCCCCTGCCTGGCTCCCACAGGCGCCTGAGTTTGTAGCCCCTGGATGTGATTCTGAGCCCAGCACAAACTGACGTGAGGCCTAAGGGCTGTGTTACAGGGTCCCCAGGTGACACAAAACCGTCAGTACCCTGGATAAGAAACTACGTGGGCTGAGTAGTGAGAAACACTGATGTTTCTGGGGATGACGTCGAGTCTATAAATAGCCTCGGAGCCAGGTGAGTGCTATTAATAACACAGGCCAATCTCACCTGGGCCCCGAGCCCTCCAGGGCTGGGCATGTGCTCAGCTCGTGGCTCCACCCAGGGACTGTCACCCCTTCTGACACCACTGAGGATGGCACACGTAGGGATGACATCACAGCCTGTGGGGAAGGCGGGCCTTTTCTCTGGCTCAGACAGGAGGTGGTGATGATGTTTGATTTTCCAAAGAGATCAGAAAGGGTAACATGAATGAAGGAAGCTGCTTCCCAGTCCAGGCTCCTGGGGGTCGGGGCATGGCAGCATCGATGGCTCCCCAGTGCTCTCCAACCATGTCAGACGTCAGCCTGGCCTTCAGGGCCCCCTGTGATTGGGTCCCCACATGCCTTTCAGCTCATGATCAGTGTCACAACCTTTCCTTGAGGTTGCCCTGACCTTTCTCAGTTCTGGGCTCGCATTGGCTCATTTCCCCTCTGGAATCACCTCTTCACATCTTTGTGCCTCTGTCCCTTAGACATGGTCGATTTTCCAGGAAGAAACCATCTCCCCTGTGCCCTGAGCTCAACAGCCCCGGCTAGCTCCTCAGTTTCTATCTTGCTGTGTTGTCTGTCCCAGGCTGGTCTCTCTTGCCCTCCCTACCCGTCCCAGTGCCCAGCTCCATGATAACAGAGGGTTCGACATGCAACAACCTGAGCTCAAAGTCAGACAGCCTGTCCCCAGCTCCTGGGGCCTTGCTTCCCTGCCTCTCGGGCTGCGGCGGGGAGCATGAGCTCGGGCTGGGGAAGGGCTCTGAGAAGTGAAGTGGTCGGTGACTGAAGGCCCTACACTTGGGGCAGGGCTGCTTGAGCTTCATCAGAGTGGAAGATAAACTGAGGCCCCCCAGGAGCAGGCCCGAGGGACAACAGAGTACCACTGAGCCACTTGGTGTGGCTGAGGGCTGTGTGGGCTCAGGGCCTGGCACTGGCTGCAGGGAGCCTTGGGCTTTAAGAAAGATTCGTTCGAGGCATGTGGGGTGATTCCTCTCCTTATTTCGAATCCACAGTACGCACCGATGTAGCAGGGATCTGGGAGATGTGCCAAGGGCTCAGGTGGGACAGGGGGCAAGTGGGCTCCCCACTCAGGCCTGCTCACTCCAGGGCACAATTGCGAGAAAGAAGGGGCTGCTCCCAGGGCCAGGTGGGCCCCATCTTGGGCTAGCACCGGGGGGGCCATTCCACTGGGGCTTCACTGAGTGCCGAGGCCCCTCCTAGGCCAGGAGTCAGAGAAGGGGCTGTGAGTTTGCAGAAGAGGGGCCAAGCTAGCATTCTCAGGCGGCTAGGACACTCTGCTCTGACCGCATGAATTTGCTTGGGCCGGCATTTTGCTACCTGACCTGTTCCTAGGAGCTGACCCGGGATCTGGGCTGAGTCAGTCTAGAGCTGGCCCCAGCTCGAGCCCATCTGCCTCCAAGGCTTGGTCCCCACCCCCTTTTCAGGCCCCTCAGGCCTCTGGGTACCTGCAGCTGAGACCCACTGCTCTCTGAGAGCAGAGAAACCCGAGAAAGACAGTCTGGACTGTCCACCACTGATGCTCACAGGCACAGTACTTAACAGTTGACAAATCCCTCTCTCCCATGTTCATTTTATCCTTAGAAGAGATCTGGGAAAAAAGCAAGATAAGGATTAGCATCACACCCTTACTCTCCAGATGGGAAACTCAGGCCTCCTGAGGCCTGGGAGAACTGGCACAGGGGCAGCAGGACGCCAGGGTTCTCTAGCCCTGGCCAGTGCCTTCCTCTCTGCGGGCCTCTGTTTCCCATGGGGAGAGTACAGGTGTCGGCCCAGACGCTCTCACAGGGCCCCTGCCCACGTTCACTTACTGTGGACCTCCCACTCCTTCCCAGGGTGCTGTGACACCCACTATCAGCACGTGGGGTTTAAATCCCCCTGCTGTGGCTCCACTGAGTCCCCTCCCAGGGTGAGTGTTGGTGGTAGGGAGTCAGCAGCCATCTGCCCTGGCCGATGGGGGACCAGGGCTGTCAGTCTGCGGGGACCCGGGAGGAGGAGGGGATTTGGACCCAATCCTGGTGGAGGGCCGGGGGGCCTGGCAGGCGCATGACAGGCCCAGGCTGCATTTCCAGTCTTGCTGGAAGAGGATCTGTTCTCTAGAAGCAAGTGGAGACAGGACCAGGCCAGGACAAGCAGGCGGGTGGTCCCCAGGGGAGGTGTCTCTGTTTATCTCCTCTTTCCTGTTGCGACCTCGTCTCTCACCTCTGATCTCACCTTTCTCTAACTCTCAGTGCCCGCTGCCTGTCTTAGTCTCTCTGTTCGTCTGCAGAACCTATGGAGGGAGGGGTGGCGGGAGGCTCTTTGGCCTGAGTCTTACATATAAAAAGGGCTCAAAGGAGACTTTTGTTATTACATTCAAATGAAAACATATGGATGCTCACATTTTGGAGTTAACTATGCTTTAGCATTTTTTCCCTTTTTAAAATTCTATTGATACATTCACAAAAATGGAACTGGCCTCCTTTCGCGGGGTCAGGTCTGTCCCTCTGGGTCTCTGTTGGGTCGCGTTCTATGAACTTCACGCCCCGCGGCCCACGAGCTGGCTTCGCTGCCTGCTCCGGCCGGCAGGGGTCGCCGGCGGACAGTCCCGACGGGGGCGTGGCGTGGGCGGGCCCACAAAGCCGGCCGGGCCAATAAAGGCGGCGGCGCGCGGCCGCCCAGGACTTAGCTTTCCGGCCTCGCGTGACCCTTGCTGCGTCGGTCTCCGCTGTCCCCGCCGGCCTCCCTCCCGACCCGCGCCCGCGATGCTGGCGCTGCGCTGCGGCCCCCGCCTGCTCGGCCTGCTCCCGGGCCCGCGCTCCGCCCCGCTGCGCCTCTCTGCGGCCCGCGCCTGCAGCGGCGGCGGCGCCCGCAACCCGTCCTCTTCCTCCGCCGAGAACCCGCTCGTGTACCTGGACGTGGGCGCCGACGGGCAGCCTCTCGGCCGCGTGGTGCTGGAGGTGAGACCTCTCGACCGGACAGGGCTGCCCTAGGCGTGGGGGACGGTCCCGGGAGAGCCCTGGCCCAGGCCGGGCGCAGGGCTGGCGCGCTAAGTGACCTTGGGCCTCCCACTCCCGCGCTCTGGGCCTCAGTTTCCCCATCTTTGAGAAGGGGCATCAGATTGGTCTCTTCTGGTCTCCCTCTCGGAACTTTGGAGTCGTGGAGGCAGGAGGAAGGGCATGTGTGAAGGAGAAAGCTCAAGGTCAGATCGTAGAGGGTGACGGCCCGGCGCCCCACCGGCCGGCCCCGGGGTGGGGAAGGGGTTCCAGGAGCCTTCTGGGGCCGAGGCTAGACCCAGAGCGCCGAGGTGGACGCGGAGGGCTCTGGGTCGGGGCCCCGGCCGGGCCGGGCGCCCACGTGGCGGCCCTTGCTTACTGTGGAGCGCGCCGCGCCCCCGCCGTGGGGCTTGCACTTGGGGCGCTTCGGGAAAGAGGTGGTTTCGAGCAGACAGGTGGTTTCGAGCATCCGTGCGGGCCGCGGACTCCCGCCACCGGGTGAACTCCAGGATGTCCCTGCTGCTAGCTGGGGCGGTGTTCGGGGAGCCCCAACCTCAGCCTCCAGGGAGCCACACTAAGCACCTGCCCTAACTGTCTTTGGGCCCTTTTTAAAGCAAATAGTCGCCAGGGTAACCGCGGGGAAGCCCTAGTGTAGACTTCAGGGCTGCTCCACTGTGAACAAAGGTGCCAATTGGTGTGGGCGGGCCAGTTTCCCAGGGAGCCCTGGGTGTTTCTGAAGTCTCAGTTTCTTCTGGAAAAGGGAGCACACTCTCCCCCTGCTTCTGTTAAGTGCAAAGGTGACTCTTAATGCTGAGAGGCAAGAGGCTGGCTTGGATGCAGCTCCAACCTCCCCTTAACACCCCTCCCCCAACACCCAACACTCTCCCGCCTCTCTGTGGGCCTCAGTTTCCCATCCTTGTGTGGAGGATCTTAGACTGGCTCCTCCCCAGGGCCCTCTCTCTAGGCCCTGAGTCTCTGATGTGTGAGCCCAGCTGTAGGAGCCCTGCTAGTTCTGTCCCCGGAAGTAGGCCAGGATGGCACTGTCATCTCCTCTGACAGATTGGGAAACCAAGGCCACCTCCTCCAGCCTTGGGTTGAGGAAGCAGCTGCCAGACACGATAGCTGTTTAGGCTGTCTCCCGCTTAGGGCTGTCTCCTTCGATGGTTGGCAGTGACCGGAATGGAATGCCCATGTGGTTCTTCCTCATGCCTCCTGGGCCACTGTGGGGATTGGGTGGTGAGGAGGCTCCTTCCTTTGCTGGCCTCTGGATTGACCATCTTCTTTCGTCTCCCTTATTTTCCCGCAGCTGAAGGCAGACGTTGTCCCAAAGACAGCTGGTAAGAGGAGTCGTGGGGCCTTCTGAGTCTGGTCTGGAGGGAAGGGAGGCAGGCAGGGTGAGGCAGGTGGGCTGGTGGGAGGAGTTGGGGCTCAGAGACCCCTGAGCAGATGGGAGCTCCATGTGTAGCTCTGGTGCTGGGTTCCCTGGGGCAGCCTTCTGTCCCTCTCTGGGCCTCAGCACTGGCTCTGCCCAGGAGCCTCAGAACCAGTGGAAGGCACACGTAAATTCCCTGAGACACCTTTCTCCCTCCTTGTGCTCGATGGGGCAGGGGTACAGCCCTGGACTCCCTGCTTCACTGACCTGGTGTTGGCACAGCCAGGAGCGTGTATTCTTGTCACAGTGCTTGAACACCGAAGTCAGAAAAGGAAATGACTTGTCCCAGGCAGACAGTGAGTTGGGCAGAACAGACCCAGGAGGTGGGCCAGGTCTTTCTACCCCCAGATCACCTACTGGGAGGCTCAGTGGAGCTCTAGGCTGGAACGACGTGACCGCAGCTGGAGCTGGCTCTGCTCACCTACCTCTCCCTCCTTCCCTCAGAGAACTTCAGAGCCCTGTGCACCGGGGAGAAGGGATTCGGCTACAAAGGTTCCACCTTCCACAGAGTGATCCCCTCCTTCATGTGCCAGGTAACAGGGCCCTCTTTGTGCCTCAGTTTCCTGTTCTGTAAGTGGGGATGACAGCACGAGCTACCTTGTAGGGGCATTATGAGGATGCCTGGGATGCGGAAAGTACTGAGCAGAGGGCAGCGGTAGTCTCTGTCCGGAGGCCAGGCTGCCCCACAAGTTAGGCACCAGGCCAAGTAGCAGGTTGGCCCCACCCAGTAGGGCTGGGGAAGTCGAGCCTGTTGAGGGAGAACTGGGTTGGGTATGATGTGCATGGCAGATGGACCTTGAGGTTTTGAAGGACTGGCAGGTTCTGACGGTCTCTGACCTTGTCCTTCTGCATGCTCCCTGAGCACTTGGCATGGGAGATTAAGGGTGCAGGGAGGGAGGAGGAGGAAGACAGGGCACGGGCAGGAACACACACGTCTGGACTTGGTGCTTCTCTTTCCAGAGAAGGGCATTTTTGTCAGTTAAATGAATATGTGCTTTAGTCATGTGTCTTGCCTGCTTCTCAAGAGCTAGTTAGTATTGCTGTGTCAGAGGTTCTGGGATAGGTGTTAGCAGCAAGAACTTTCCCAGGGGTCAGGACCTGAGTGGTGTTGAGGGTTGTCCTCTGTTAAGGTCAGGGGTTAGTGTCCTGGGGCCCACTGTGCCTAGAGATAGGAGTGTGGTTGTCATGACCTCTTGGAAGTCCTCTCGGCCCAGAATTCTCCCTGCCATTCCCTCAACCCTGCCCCAGTGGTTGTCATAGTCCGTGGTCAGTATAGTGGGTTGGGGCTGGGCCTGCCGATGTGCGGTGAATGTGGCCAGGGCAGGGAGGACAGGCCCGGCCCAGCCCTGTGGCTTTCCTGCTGCAGAAGCTCCCAGCTCCACCCCAGGCCGATGGATGAAGCAGGAGCTGAGGCGGATATCCTGAGCCAGGCTGGGGACTTCCCAAGCTGGAGGGCCCTCTGGCATGAGGTGGTGACTCAAGGCAGGATCTTGAGTTATCTCTCTCCAGGGGCACGTTATTGGTACTTGTTGATGCTTTAGCTGGGCTGGTTGGGTCACCTCTCTCTCTTGAGGATCCCATCTCAGGATGACAGTAGCATGGCCAGGGCCTGGGCCGCCTGGGCCTCAGGCGAGCCCTGAGGAAGGATGCTGACCTGGGGCGGACTCTGTCCCAGATCTGCAAGGCCCAGGGAACTGCTGGGGGTGGTCGGGGAGACACTGGCATGTGGAGGGGCTGGGCATGGGGTGCTGTCCGGACTGACTGCTGCTGTTCCCCCAGCCAGACTCGGGCACGGGGGCCCCGGCCTTTTCTCTGCTGTGGGTTAAAAATTCTGGGTCACTGAGAATTGTCCCACTTTTGGGTCCTTTGAGGGTAACTTAAAAACTTGCTCAGACAAGAAGTAAATCACTCAGAAACCAGGGTAGTTACTATAGCAGAAAATATTTAAGCTTTGCTTTATTTTTGCTATTTTCCTCATCATTTTGTTAGTCTTTATGTCCTTGGATGCTGATTGATGTCTTTGCCTGAGGGGTGCCAGCTGGGTGGGCCTCGGGTACGTTGGGGGCTGCCAGGCCCGTGTGGCGAGCACTCAGGAGGTGCTCTGTGCTCGCAGGCAGGCGACTTCACCAACCACAACGGCACGGGGGGCAAGTCCATCTATGGAAGCCGCTTTCCTGATGAGAACTTCACACTGAAGCACGTGGGACCAGGTATGTGGGGGCCACCACCATTCCCCTCTGGTCTGAGTGGCCCTGCAGCTCTGACCTGGCCTGGAACCCACAGCCTCTGCCACACCTGGCAGCGCCTAGAAGCTCCTCTAGTAATTGCTCAATATCTGATGATGCACCTTCCTGCCTGCCTCCCTCCCTTCCGGCCACCCTCCGTCTGGGTTGGCTTAGCATTTCTGGCTTGTTGAGTTTTCCTAGAGTTTTCTGAGCTCTCAGTTTAAAAAACGAACTTTCCTTTGGGAATTTCGGGGGAGAGCCTTTAAGCAGAACAGAGGCCCCTGGCTACCTCCCGGTTTGCCCTCCAAGAGTTACAGGTTGAAAATTCTGTGTCACTTAGAATCATCTCAGAGTGGTCCTGAGGTCCTTTGAGGATTTAAAATCTTGCTTACACAAAAAGCTAATCATTCGGAAACCAGGGTAGTTACTGCATTGTGTCACCTATGAGACCCAGGGTGGAATGTGGGAAAGGCTGGGGTCCCACCCCAGTCCTACCACCGAGAGCGTCCTCAAGGCCTTCCCCCCAGGCCACCCCAGTGAGACCCAGCAGGCAGCAAAGGCAGACAAGTCGAACCCTGGTTCTCCCCTTTTGGGCACCAGGATCTGCAGATTCAAATGTCCTTGATGTTCTTTGAGCCGTTTGTGCTTTTGAATGCCTTCCCGGGCGGGCTGCCTCCTGGGGCAGCGTGGCTCAGCCCTGCCTGTGTTTGCAGGTGTCCTGTCCATGGCTAACGCAGGCCCCAACACCAACGGCTCCCAGTTCTTCATTTGCACCGTAAAGACAGACTGGTGAGTTCCCTGCTCCAGGCCCTCTGGGAGGGAGGGGTGGCCTTGCACCTGGACGGGAGTTGCTGCACTTGCAGGGACAGGCAGTTTGCGGCTGGACCATCTGCTTTGAGACAGTGGCCCTCTCCGGGCTGTGTGTCTGAGAGAGAGAAAGTTAGTGAAAGGATTGAAGGAAAATTTGGGTTGTTCCTGCAACTCTGTCATAATGAGGCTTCCCATTGTCGCCGTCACCTGGAATTTTCTCCAAAAGGGAGCCTCTACCAGATACATTTGGGAAAGGCTGCAGAACATAGTAAGCCTCAGCATGACCTGAGTAGAAGTCCGTCTGTTTGGTTTGACCTGGTGTTTCCCAGGCTTACGTCGACCGTGGGCTGCACCTTGGACGTGCTGCGGGAGGCATTTGGACGTCGGCAGGTTTTTCTTCAACCCCCTGTATTGGCACAGGCTTGCAGACAGCTAGCAGCCTTCAAGGGCCCTCTTTCCACGTGCCCAAGGATGGGTTTAGGGATGTCCATTCCCTGGTAAATTTTCCACTAAGGGGTAAATTTCTCTGCCCAGAGTCTCAAATGTCCTAGCCCTGGGCATCTGGGGTTGAGGGGACAACAGCTGGCTGGGAGCTGACTTGATAAAGCCCTTTCTGAGGGTTCTAGGGAGACGTAGGTGGCGGGGTGGACACTGGCAGTCTCTAGCGGCCAGGCCAGAAAGATGTGGCTGTCAGCGCTGGGCTCTCCCGGCTCTTTGCTTCCTGCATGGAACCTTTAATGGATCCTGCAGTTGTGCCGTTGGCTGTAACCACTCTTGGCTTCGCCAGAGCTGGACTAAGCCGCCTTTTATGTTCTTGGATCCCTGTCTAATCGAGAGCTGCTCAGGACTCCTATAGTTTCACCACACTTGCTACGTTGGCTCTCGCCTCAAAATTCATGACTGTTAAAATGGTTCCATTTGTACAGACTTTTCAGTTCCTCAGAGTAGTTAAGTACCCTGTTATCTCCCTATGCAGAACAAGAATAATCCGCTTTTCATAGATGAGGTCACTAGGATTCAGGTTCCGTGGTCTGGGGCAAGGTTGCACAGCAGGAAAGTGGCAGAACATGTCCTGGAGGCTGGGCGTCCTCTGGGGTGTATTTGGGGAGCTTAGCAAGATTTGATCAAGCTTTGGGGGGTGGATCCAGCCATTTGCTGTAGGTTCCTCTCCGAATTTCAGTGTTAGATAAATAACTCCACGACCGACAGGCCATGGGGTTGGGTTGGTCGCAGTGCTCTGCCTGCTCACCTGGCTTCCCTGCTCACAGGCTGGACGGCAAGCACGTCGTGTTCGGCCACGTCAAAGAAGGCATGGATGTCGTGAAGAAAATAGAATCTTTCGGCTCTAAGAATGGGAAGACATCCAAGAAGATTGTCATCACCGACTGTGGCCAGTTGAGCTAACCTGCAACCGGGGTGCTAGGACGGGGGCAGCCGCACGTGTGTTCACTCACCCAGGTGGCCACCTCGGGCTCTTAGCAAAGGTGCCCCGAAGTGTTGCCTGCACTTCCTTCACCATCACTGTGTGCTGCCCAGGGATATCCGGCCTCTGCTGGGAGGGACCCACCAGACCGCTTCTCACAGGTCCACCCTTCCTCGTGACCCCGTCTCTGGCATCCGCTGTGGACGTGGTGTCACCCACCCTTCAAGCATTGCCTGTGATCACCCAGTTCATCTGTGCCTTGGACGTTGGTGGCGGGGATGACTTAGCGTCCAGTGAAGGTTTCTGCCTTTTTCTGGGCCAAGGGGGACAGCCAGTTGCTGCAGACAGGCTATGATACCTGTTTAATGTCGTCTTCCTAATTGCAGTAAGTTAATTAACAAGATTGACTAGAAACGAAGCTGTGACAGTAACTACACCCAGAACCCCAGAGCTTGCCTTTTGAAACACAACTCAGGGCTTTTGTGAATTTTCCCACGGCCGAGGCCTTCCCTCCGGGTTACTGTGAATCCTGTTGGTTTGCTGCGGTGGTTTTGGGGAGGGTCCGTGGGGGTAGAAGCAGTTGAACCTGGGAACAAACCCAACTTGAGCTGTGCCTAGTCAATGTGAATTCCCGTGTTGGAAACAGTGGCCTGTAAGCGCCGTGTGTTCTGGAAGAAAAGATTTCCTGGCGGGCTTTGATTTTTCTGTGTGTTAAATAAATTAAATCTACTGATGATGTATATGAAACATTTCTGGAACATCTATTTGTGGTCACCATAAATGTGTTAATAAATCCTATTTTCTATGAAAGACTGGTGTCTGCGGTTTTAGGAAGAAGTGTCTGTGCTTAAGTATTTGGGGCCAACCTTTATTGAGTTACCACGTCCGTACCAAGCCCCGCTGCTGTGCTAAGGACTTTCATGTGACTGTTCCATTTAGTCACCCCAGCAACTCTTGAGAGAATTGTCATCGTCATCCCTGCTTTAGAGGTGAGGAGGCTCAGACAGGTGATCTCAGCATCCGCAGCCTAGACTGCGAGCACTGACTCCACCCTGAATCCCAGCTCTGCCCCTTAGTGACCCCAAGTCCCAGTCTTCCTCAGCTGCATGGTTGGGTAATGATGCTGCCCACGTCACGAGGTGGAGGGGATTGGATGTGATCCGTGTGAAGCACATACGTGGTGCCTGGCACATGGTCTTAATGAGCGCTCTGGAATGACAAGGATGATGACATTGCCCACGTGTCGTGGTCTTAGCAGAGAGGAGGAATGCCTGAGCAAAGGAGCCTCGCTCTCTAAGGTCAGGAGTGGAATTTACTGTCCTTGATGTGCCTGTTAAATTGGAAATTAACTTATAGGTGTTTCTGAATTTGCAGGGAGGACAGAATTGGGGGGGTGGGAGAGGGATTGAGGGCTTCCCTAAATAGCCTGGGCCACAGCATGGCTGGGTGTTGATGGGGTGGTCAGGCAGGCAGTTCTCAGAGGGGATTTGGGCTCTCAGTGGGGTGTCTAGTTTCACATTGGTGTTCCCTGAGTCAGGTCATGTGTGGTCACAGATTAACACAGTCACTCTGAGGTCATGGTGGCTGGCGTCGTGTCATTCATCGTCATGGAGAGTTTCCATGAAGTCAGTTCAGTTGCATGGATTGGGAGCTCAGCAGGACTAGTAGTTTTCAAACAATTCTCAAGAGCCTTAGGGGTCCTCAGAGTAGAACAAGCGGAGATAAGGGGCATGGGCCCCCGAATCCCATTTTCAATCATAGATCCTCTCCATTTCTTCTTACACTGGGGCTCTGCAGGGGATTTCATGTAAAGAATGGGGTCTTGAGCCAAACAGTAATTGGTAATTACTCATCCAGTCCCACATTTTGCAGATGGGTAGACTGAGGCCCCAAGAGGGGTCACGATTGCCCATTGTGAGGTGACCCTGTGAGTCAATTGGCTGAGCAGGGGCTAGAACCGAGGGCCCCTGCCAGAGAGATTTCTGTTGGAGGCCGTTGAGAATGCACAGCCTCCTTTTGGGGACATGTCGCCAAACATCCTGAGGCCGCATGCATTCAGAGTACAACAGATCTCTGAGGTCAAAGCCACAGCTCTGCTCCCTCTGGAGTTTCCTGCTGACCTGGGACACTCCTGGCTAGCAGTGTACCATGTGAGGGGCAGTTCCTCGAGGTGCGACCTGCTGGCTCCATGGTGATTTCTGAGGGGTCTCAGGGTGGCAGAGGTTGTGGAACTCATGTTTTGGCACCATGCGTTTCCTTCTCGCTGAGGAGGGAGTGTGTGCATGTGTGTGTGCACACGTGTGTGTTCTTCATCCAGAGGAGTGTAGCTGGGGTGGAAGTGGAGCACGCATGCAGGGATGTTCTAAAAACGGAGTTCCTTGCAAGCAGGGCCTATTCCCTGCGGTTCTCTTCCCAGCACGCCCCACGACAGCCTGAGCCTGGTCTCATTTCCTGTATGAAGCAAGAGCATGCGTAGTGTACAACTAAAATATTGGCTTGTTGCTGGCCAGAAAGTACCTAATACATAAACGAAGCACCTAGTCTTATGCATGCTCTCATAGATGTAATCATTAGTGATGTCATATAAAATTGATTTTTAAAAAAATATGAAACATCAATTTTATTTTCTGCGATGTGATAGTTTTTCAAAATGACTTCATCGAGGTATAATTTGCATACATAAAATTCATACATTTTAAGTGCACGCATCAATGACTTTTTTTTTTTTTTTTTTTTTTTTGAGACAGAGTCTCACTTTGTTGCCCTGGCTAGAGTGAGTGCCGTGGCATCAGCCTAGCTCACAGCAACTTCAAACTCCTGCCTGGGCTCAAGCAATCCTTCTGCCTCAGCCTCCCGAGTAGCTGGGACTACAGGTATGCACCACCATGCCCGGCTAATTTTTTCTATATATTTTTAGTTGTCCGATTAATTTCTTTCTATTTTTTTAGTAGAGACGGGGTCTCGCTCTTGCTCAGGCTGGTCTAGAACTCCTGACCTTGAGCGATCCACCCACCTCGGCCTCCCAGAGTGCTAGGATTACAGGCGTGAGCCACCGTGCCCGGCCCATCAATGACTTTTGAAATGTATATATTGAGTGATAATCACCACCAGGTTAAAATATAGAATATTTCCATCTTTTCAGAAAGTTCTCCCCATGCTCCTTCCCAGGCAGCCACTGAATTCTACCACTATAATTTTGCCTGTCGTAGGACTTCATAGCAATGGTATCAAATAGGATTCACTGTTTTGTGTCTGGCTTCTCTAGTGTAGCTCATGTGAGAACGTGGGAGATTCTAATACACTTTGATAGAATTTGCTCCATGAAAAGGAATTTCTGTAACTGCTTCCTAGGTCTGGTAAGGCCTAAAGCAATGCTTCTCCTAGGAATCATAGGGTGCTGGTTAAGCACGCAGATTTCTGGCCTACGCTTGAGACCTAGCGAATACCAAACTCTGAGGATGGAATCTAGGAATCTGAATGTTAAAATAATTCGACTGAAGTTAAGAATTTGGGTGTAGGCCACAGTGGGCAATACTGAAAGGGAAGGTTATGGCTTAATACTAGGGTCATTGTTTACTTCTAGCAACATTTTTTATTGGACTTTCTGGGACTCTAGAGTGACATTCTCCACTTCTAAATGAAGCTCGTTCAAGGAGCCTGGTTGATAACTATGGGACGACTTGGTGGGTGCATCCTGTTCAGCACAAGCTCTGTGGGGACCGGAGGGCAGGCGTGTTCTTCCGTAGCGCTGGTAAAAGTGGCCACGTGCTGCCTTGGCCTATGCAGGTGCCTTTGAGGGAAGGACCCCTTGGGGTGCCAGCCTCTGCTCTCCCTTTGCCTTCCAGGAAGATGGTCTGCCTTGGGTGGGCCCAGGGTGGACAGCATTTCTCACTGAGTGCCTTTTGGAGGCCAGAAGTCCAAGGTCCCCTGGAGGAGGGCAGGTAGAGCAAGTCTCAGTTCCACTGTGCATCCCAGATCAGTCTCAGCCTGTAGAGGCTGTCTCGAGTTAGGACAGTACCATTATTGTCATCCTATCATATCATGATGGTTAATTTTATGTGTCAACATGACTGGGCCACAGGGTGCCCAGACATTTGGTCGAATGCTATTCTGGGTGTGTCTGTGAGGGTGTTTCTGGATGAGAGGGACATTTGAATCAGTAGCTGAGTAAAGCAGATGCCCTCCCTAATGTCAGCGGGCCTCATCCAATCAACTGAACACCTGAATAGAACAAAAGGCCCCACGTAAGAGGGACTCCTCCTGCCTGACTGCAGTGAGCCGGAACGTTGGTACTTTCTGCCTTTGGACTCCAGCGGAAACCTTGGCTCTTCCTAGGTCTGGAGCCTGCCGGCTTTCACACTGGAACTACAACATTGGCTCTTCCAATTTTCAGGCCTTTGGGCGCAGACTGGACCTGCACCTTCAGCTCTCCTGGGTCCCAGCTTGCCAATTGCAGGTCTTAGAACATCTCAGCCTCTATAATCACATAAACCAATTTCTTATTTCATATAGATATCATATGGATTCCTATATTATAGATAGCCCTATATCGGACATATCATATATAAGACATATATGTATATATATGTGTGTGTGTACACATACATATTTCCTGTAAGTTCTGTTTCTCTGGAGAACGCTAATACACACATTTTCAATGTTATTTTTCTATTTATAAAACCAAAATGCACTTGTAAAAATTCAAATGTTACATAAATATATAGTACGGAGAATTAAAATTGCCCACAATCCTATCGCATGAATAGTCGGTATAGATTTCTGTATTTGCTTAGCTGCAAAGAACATCACTCCTACCCTAGCCATAAGAAAAAGCTGAATAAACTACAAAATCATAACTTTTCTTGAGCTCATCGGAAAGGCACCAAGTAACCTGGATTCTAAAGAGGAGCAAACCCTTGCAAGGAGAGACAGGACACACGAACCATCTCATCTGTGGCGGAGCACTGCAGGAAGGTATAACACAGAACAAGTGGGTAAGATAAAATCAGGTAACACTTTAATGAATTTTTAAAGGCCAAGAGGAGGCTGGTGTGTCAGTGTGGAATAGCTGGGGACCCCAGATGCAACGGGGTCCCCTCATCTGCTAGATCTTCCCCCTAGGCCTCCACTGGGAGCTCAGGAGAAAGGTTGAGGCAGGACAGAAGGCCCGAGAGAGGCTGCCTTGGTGGTCCAGGCCTGCAGGAGGTGACCTTCAGCTGCGGGAGAGAGGCATTAAGGCTTGCCCACTTCCTCAGATTCTTGCCTCCTACGCAGCAATATTCTAAATCCATTAGGGAGTTGGGCAATATACCCTTCAGCCCAAGGAGCGTGTGAAAGCTCACTGTGCCTGGAGGAAAGGTACAAAAAAATCCCTGTATCCCTAGAGGAGGGGCAAGAAGCCATCCAGGGCCCAGGATCCTGTACTGATACTAACCAGAAATCAGCTACCACTAGGAGGGACGGGGGCAGGGGGCGGGGGATGGTGGCAAGAAACTCACACCCAAGACATGCCTAAGACTGAGGCTGGACAAGGACAACAAAGAACTCTCCTGCCCCTACTATGGGCCTAGTTGACCACTGGGGGAGGGGGAAGGGCGTGGAGAGAGAGACCCTCTGTGTTGCAGAAAGCTGAGCATCAAGTACGAACACCAAGAAAAACCCTTTGGCACCCCAGCTCCACCCTAACCACAAGGCAACAGTAACCTAACAGTTAAGGAATTTGAAGCCTATGGAGCTCTGAAAGTAAGAACAACATAAAACCCCATCCAGCTCAACTCCTGACTAGACTGACTCAGTGCCCCACAATAAAG